ATGTAGGATTTATATAGAAATAACCTTTTAATTGATTTATTAGTTGAATAGGTGAATTATTTTTATCTAATAAATTATTATGATCTATATTTTTATTAATATAAAAGTATAAAGAATAACCTATACCTATTAATATAAAGAAAACATTTAAATTAGAAATACTATATTGTATTAAATAAAAAATAAAAGATTGTATAGATTCAACACTATTAATACTTAAAGCTAATAATAAAAAACCAACATGAGATATAGTACTATAAGCAAATAATCTTTTAATTCTAAATTGAGTTAAACCTAAAACAGTACCTATAATTAAAGAAAGTATACTACTTACTAATAAACTAGAAGTTCAAGAATATTCAGTGGATATATATATATTATTAGAAAAATGTACTAAATGTAATAAAATAATTAATATAGATATTTTTGGTATAATAGCAACAAAAGTTGTAACAATAGTAGGTATACCATCATAAACATCAGGAGATCAAAAATGAAATGGTGCCGCAGACATTTTAAATAAAAAACCTATAGATATTAATAATAAATAATAAGGTATATATGTAGATATATCTTTATATATAATATAATTTAAATCATTATCTTTAATTAAATTAGATAGATTTGTTATAACATAAAAATTATCTAAATACGTTGTACCAGAATTAGCATAAATTAAACCTATACCTAATAAAATAAAACAAGATGATAAACCACCTAATAAAAAATAAGTTAAACCGGAAGATGTTGAAGATTCAGAATTTCTATAAAGGGTACATAATATATATAAACCATAACTTTGTAATTCTAATGATAAGTATAAAGATATTAAATCACTACTAGATATTAATAATATACTACCCATAACTATAAATAATAATATTAAAGTATATTCTATTATTGTATATTGTTCTCCTTTTTTATTAATAATGTTAGAAACAAATAATTTTAATTTAGTTAATAGTAACATATTTAAACTTAAATATTTATTTGTTCAAAATTTTCTAGGGTAAAAACCTGTTAAATTTAAAATAAACATTGTTAATAAAAATATTAATATATTAAATATAAGATCCAAAGATGTTACACTAAATAAACCACCATATAAACCTATACCTAAATTTAAATAGGATACAAATAGATTATTATAACAAAGTAAAATACAATAAAATTGTATAATTATTCCTATTCTAGAATAATAAATGGAAATATCTCTTCTTAAACTAAGAGAATTAGATAATAATAAAAAAAATATAGAAGTTAATAACATTATTTATGATTATTTATAGATGCAAACATACTAAATAATAATAATAATAAAATATTATTATCAGTAGTATTAAAATAAAGTAATAAAATATAAAAAATTAAACCTATTAATATATATAAAGCATAAGATGTAATAACACCAGTACTTAAGTTACCTATATTTTTACTTAAATTTAATAAACCTTTTTCTAAACCATATGGACCTAATAATTCAACAGAACCTTTATCTAAAACTTTAGTAGTTTGTCCACCTAATTTTAAAATAAGATTAGTTATATAATTATTATAAAAAAATTCAATTAAAAATCTTTGATTGAATAAACTAAAAATATTATAACCTAAATTAGAAAATTTAAAATTAATTAATAATTTACCAAAAAACTCAGAAAAAAGAATACCAATAAGAGTTAAAGTTAAAGTAAAAAATAAAGGTAATAATTTAAATATAGTTGGAACTGCAAATTCAGTATCTAACATAATTTCATGTGAAGGATGTATAAAAATACTATTATCTACAAAAAAATTTGTACCTAAACCAATAAAAACATCTTTAGTTAAATAACCAAAAAATATTGAAAAAATAGCTAAAATGATTAAAGGTAAATTAATAAAAATATTACCTTGATCTACATTTTTATAATTATTCAATGGTCCATTAGGATTAGTTAAAAATGTTAAATATAACACTTTTACAGAATATAATGTAGTAAACATAGCACCTATTGTAGCTATAAAATAAACAATAGTACTTGAAATATAAAATTGACCATATGCTGATTCTAATATAAAATCTTTAGAATAGAAACCAGACATAAATGGTATAGCAACTAAACTTAAAGAAGCTATTAACATTATTGAATAAGCTAAAGGTAAAAATGATTTTAATCCACCGTATTTTCTAAAATCTTGATTATCTGATACAGAATGTATAACTGCTCCAGCACCTAAAAATAATAAAGCTTTATAAAAAGCATGATTAACTAAATGAAATAATGCAAGATTATAAGATGATAAACCTATAGCTATAACCATCATACCTAATTGACTCATTGTTGAATAAGCTATAACTTTTTTAATATCTTGTTGAAATAATCCTATTATAGAACTAAAAATAGTTGTTATAGCACCTAATCATAAACAAAGTATTAAAACAGTTGAACTATACTCTATTAAAGGAGATGATCTCATTAATAAATAAACACCAGCTGTAACCATTGTTGCTGCATGTATTAAAGCAGATACAGGTGTAGGACCTTCCATAGCTTGAGGTAATCAAACATGAAGACCTATTTGTGAACTTTTAGCCATAGCACCTATTAATAAACATATACCTATTAATGTTATGATATCTTGATTAAAATATGGAGCTAATGAAAAAACAGTAGAATAGTCTAAATTACCAAATGATCAAATTATTATAAACATACCTATAGTTAAAAAACAATCTCCCACTCTATTTGTTAAAAAAGCCGAAATTGAACTTTGATTTGCTGCTATTCTAGTAAATCAAAAATTTACTAATAAATATGAACATACTCCAACACCTTCTCAACCTAAAAACATTAATAAATAATTATTAGCTGTTACAAGTATTATCATCATAAAAGTAAATAAACTTAAATAACTAAAAAATCTTTGATTATGTGGATCATGACTCATATAACCTATAGAATATATATGTACTAAACTAGATACTATTAAAACAGGTATTAACATACTTACAGTTAAACTATCAAAATAAAAACCTCATACAATATTTATTGATTCTGAATCAATTCATCTAAATAAATTTATTTCTAATGGTATATTATTATAACCTACTTCAAAAAAAGTTATAATAGCTAATATAGTTGTTATAATAATAAAACTAGATGTTATTAATTGTGCTCCTTGTACTCCTATTTTTCTACCAAAAAATCCTGATATTATTGAACCCATTAAAGGTAAAAAAATAATTACTAAATACATTACTTATATTCTATTGCTATACTTCCTCTTAATCTATAAAAAGCTACTAATATACCTAAACCTATAGCAGATTCTGCACCAGCTATAGTTATAATATATATAGCAAAAGTTTGACCTAATATATCATCAAAATTAAGTGAACTTATTAATATTAAAAAAGTAACAGACAATAACATTATTTCTATTGAAATAAGCATTAGAATTATATTCTTTCTATTTAAAACAAAACCTAAAATCCCTATTAAAAATAATATTAACGATAAATTCATAAAACTTTTACGATTAAGATTAATTATGTATACTTGTTTTCATTTTTATTTATTAATTAATTAATTAGTCTCCTAATTGATCTCTTAATCATAATAAAAATTTTTTTAAACTAACTGATTGTATTACTATAGGCATTGAACTATGTAATATTCCACATATTTCTGAACATTGTCCAAAATAAGTACCCTGTCTGTTTAAATATACTGATGATTGATTTAATCTACCTGGGTATGCATCACATTTTATACCTAATGATGGACAAGCAAATGAATGTATAACATCTGCCGCTGAAATTACAAATCTTGTATGTGTTAATTCTGGTATTATTACTCTATTATCCACTTCTAACATTCTTAATGTACCTTCTTCTAAATCTGATTCTGGTACTATATATGAATCAAACTCTACAAATTCTCCATCTGTATTAGTAAAATCTGGATATTGGTAACTTCAATATCATTGATGACCTTCTCCATATATAACTAATGATGGATCCATTACTTCATCCATTAAATATAATAATTTAAATGAAGGAAATGCTATAAGTATTAATATAATAGCTGGTGTTATAGTTCATATTAATTCTATTAGTGTACCATGATTCATATATTTATGTGATATTTGTGATTTTGTATGTATAAAACTTTTAATCATAGTAATCATCATTCATGTTACAGCAAATAATATAATAGTTAAATAAAACATAATATTATTATGTAATTCTTCTATACCTTCCATTTGAGGTGTAGCACTATCTTGAAAAAATAAACCTCATGGTGTAGGAGCATCAAGTTTTATTGTATTTTGATTAATACTAATTAAACTTAATGTTTGAATTCAAATAAATAAATTTATTAACATATTAATTATAATTTTTCTTTTTTAATCCTTACAACAAAAAAAATAAAAAAAAAAAATTAATAATATAGATATTATAATAAAAAAAAAAATATATATATATTTTTTTTTTAGGAAAATAGCTGAAATTTTAAACTTAAATACAAAAAGGTATAAAATATTAAAAATATTAATTAGGCTACATATAATAATAAGAAAGCCATCATTAATGCGAATAAACCTGTAGCTTCTGAAAAAGCAAAACCTAAGATAGCATATGAGAATAATTGACCTCTAAGTGAAGGGTTTCTAGCAACACCTAAAATTAAAGCACCAAAAACAACACCTATACCTACACCTGCTCCTATTAAACCTGTTGTAGCTAAACCAGTACCTATTATTTTAGCTGCTTGTATCATTATATAAGTATAAAATATAAATTACTAAGGAAACCTTTATCCAAATAAATAGTTACTAATTTTAGTTTAAGTTTGACACTTAAAAAGCCCTTAAGATGAATCGAACATCTATCAAAATATTAACAGTATTTTGCTCTACCTTTGAGCTATAAGAGCTGATATTCTTATCCTAGATTCGAACTAGGATCAAAATATTAGAAGTATTTTGCTCTACCATTGAGCTAATAAGAATAGAAGTAACATGTATAAGACTCGAACTTATATCATCGTGGCCGTAATACGATATTCTAACCATTAAACTAACATGCATAGGTATTTATAACGATTCTTCCTTGTTCATACCTTCTTCTAAAAATAAATGTACTAGATTTAATAGGAATTATCTTACTATTTGTCCTATAAATTTTCGTACAATTTTATCTTAACAGAATAATTATCAAGACTATTAAAATTTTATTACCATCATCATTTTACACTATATAAGATTATTACTAAGACATTCTGGTATAAATGACTTTTTAAATTATTAAAGAACATTAAATTTTTTAACTTTGGATGTTATAATAGGAAAAAAAAATAAAGAATAAAAAGAAAATGTAAAACATTAGCATTATTGACAGTAATAAAAATTATTTATTTTTAAATGTTAAATATACTAATATAAACAAATATCAAAATATTAGAAGTATTTTGTTTTACCTTTGAGCTATAAAAGCTAGTATTCTTATCCTAGATTCGAACTAGGATCAAAATATTATAAATATTTTTGCTCTACCATTGAGCTAATAAGACTTAAACTTATATTGTTATGCCCGTACCTTTTTTAATTAAGATTGTACAGGTAAGCTTACAAATGCATGAGGTTTAGGTGGACTATTTAAACATCATTCTAAAGAACTATTATTTCTATTAAATAGTGTTTGGAATAAATCATTAAAGTATTGTGGAGTTAATCAAGGATATCTAGAAACAGGTGAACCTTGAGTTAATTGTAAATATAATATATTTAAAAAATATCATGTAGCTACAACACTTATAATAGAACCAAAACTACTTATTAAATTTCAACCTGCAAAGGCATCTGGATAATCTCCGATACGTCTAGGCATACCTTGCAAACCTAAAAAATGTTGAGGAAAGAAAGTTAAATTAACACCTACAAATAGAAGTCAAAAATGTACTTTACCTGCAAATATGTCATAAGATAAACCTAATAATTTAGGTATTCAAAAATATCATCCACTAAATAAAGCAAATACAGCACCCATAGATAATACATAATGAAAATGAGCTACAACATAATAAGTATCATGAAAAGCAATATCAAGTGAAGCATTAGCTAAAACAACTCCACTTAAACCACCTATAGTAAACATAACTACAAAACCTAAAGCAAATAACATAGCTGGTGTTAAATGTAAAGAACCACCATAACAAGTAGCTAATCAACTAAATATTTTAATACCTGTAGGTACAGCTATAATTAATGTTGCAGCTGTAAAATAAGCTCTAGTATCAACATCTAAACCCACAGTATACATATGATGACTTCAAACAACAAAACCTAATATACCTATAGACATCATAGCATAAACCATACCAAGATAACCAAAAACATTTTTACTTGAACTTGCAGAAATTACAGTACTAATAATACCAAAACCTGGTACAATTAAAATATAAACTTCAGGGTGTCCAAAAAATCAGAAAAGATGTTGGTATAAAATAGGATCACCACCACCAGCTAATTCAAAAAAAGATGTATTAAAATTTCTATCAGTTAATAACATTGTTATAGCTCCAGCTAAAACAGGTAATGATAATAATAATAAAACAGCTGTTATTAATACAGCTCAACCAAATAAAGCTAATTTATGTAAACGTATACCAGGACTTCTCATATTAATTATTGTTGTAATAAAATTCATAGCACCTAATAGAGAACTAATTCCACTTAAATGTAAACCAAATATAGCTAAATCTACACTAGGACCACTATGACTTTGTATACTTGATAATGGAGGATATAATGTTCAACCTGTACCTGCTCCATTTTCTATTATAGAAGCAAATACAAATAATAATAAACTAGGTATTAATAATCAAAAACTTATATTATTTAATCTTGGAAAAGCCATATCTGGACCTCCAACTAATAAAGGTAATAAAAAATTACCAAAACCTCCTATTAAAGCAGGCATAACCATAAAAAATATCATTAATATAGCATGTGCTGTAATAATACTATTATATAATTGATTATCTGCTATATATTGTATACCAGGAGCAGATAATTCTAATCTAATTAAAACTGAAAAAGCTGTTCCAATTAATCCAGAAAATAATGCAAACATTAAATATAATGTTCCTATATCTTTAGCATTTGTTGATAAAAATCATCTTTCTTTTCACATTGTTATCTTAAAAATCCCCTGCCCAATCATTTATTTTTTTTTTATTATTAAGCTGCTGCCAATTAGCATTATTAACTTTAATTATATATTTTATTCGAGTATAATTTTAATTTATAAGAGTATAATTATATATTTAGATTCAACTTCAACATATTTATATCTAAGGGTGGGTACCTTGAATCGAACAAGGATATACTATGCCACATACAGCTGTTCTACCAATTGAACTATATCCACCTTTTATAATTAAATTTAAAGGTTAAATATCTTAATCACTATAAAATAAATAACCATAAGCCTGAGGAGAAAATCGAATTCTCATTCTTAATTCATGAAATTATTGTTCTACCATTAAACTACTCGGGCTAATTTAACTATTCATAATTTTAAAGCTAAAAAAAAAAAATTTTTTTTTTTTTACACTAATTACAATATTATGTTGGAGCGATTCGAACACTCATAACTAAATATCAAAAATTTATGACTTACCTCTTAGTCAACAACATAAAATAGTTATTTTATACTTTATTGAGGTTTTTTAATTAATTAAGTTATTAGATTAAATATAGAAGCTCTATGGATAATAAGACTTGAACTTATAAAGCTTCCGCCACTATGATCTAAACATAGCCTGTTTACCATTTCAGCATATCCATAAATAATGTATTTTAAGCATAAAGAGTTGCTCGAAATAAGACTTGAACTTATAACCTAAACATCTTCAGTGTTCCGCTCTACCAATTGAGCTTTTCGAGCTAAAATTATGGACAAGACGGGTATCGAACCCGCAAAGAGTATGTGCAAGATACTAGTTTTACCGTTAAACTACCTGCCCTAAAGCTTGGACTGACCGGGAATCGAACCCGGGAAGAGTATGTGCAAGATACTGATTTTACCATTAAACTACCAGCCCTGTATCCGAGGAGGGATTTGAACCCACACGATTCTATCAATAAAACTTAAGATTATCCTGTCTACCAGTTTCAGCACTCGGATTAAGACTAAAATGATTCGAACATTTATAAGAACTATTATGAGCAGTTGGCTTTACCATTAAGCTATAGTCTTTAAATACGGATTTAGGATTTGAACCTAAATAAATTGATCATGAGTCAATTATGTTACCATTACATTAATCCGCATTAAGAAATAGGTGAATTGAACACCTAACACTCCACGTGTAAAGTGGATGCTCTACCTATTGAGCTAATTTCTTGCAACCCAAGAGAGACTTGAACTCTCGCACTAACAGTGAAAATGTTATGTCTTAACCGACTTGACCATTGGGTCAGCCCAGTGTAAGTATCGCACTTACTTAAACCGATTACAAAACGGTTGCATTACTTTTATGCTAACCAGGCCAAAACACTAATTATGTGTTATATTAAGTATAATAATAAATTAGTACTTTATGTCTAAAAAAAATTAATATTCTTGCAACTAAAGCCTATAACGTAATATTATATTACGCTTATATAAGAGTATATTATAATAAGCTTCGCGCTTAAATGCTTTCAGCACTTATCTCTAACTGACTTAGCTTTCCTGCCATGCTTAATAAACATTTCTATTTTCTTTATATAATAAAGAAAATATACGTAATCATTACTTTAGTGATAGTAAACTAGTTATTAACAATATTAAACAACAGGTAAACCATAGGTCACCATTCCCAACTCCTTTCGTACGAAGGGACTATTTATCTTTTACTCTGTATCCCTCTAGAAGATAAA